AAATAATTTCAATGACATTTCCTTGCCCTAAAAGCTTTATAGGGAATTAAAAGAGGGCCGTGCCCAACAGTGGGACGTATATACGTAGTCTTACAGACGTAGACGTAGTTTTTGACTTTTATTTTATAAGACTTGTTGTCGTGTTGTGGTCTTAAGAGAATTCACCTCCCTATTTCGCCGTGCGCGTGTCAAATGAAGCGATTAACTTGTGTTCTACGATATCCATCTTGTATATGCCAGATGAAAAATATCTAGACGCCATATAGCGGCGGCGTGAGAGAATCACTACACCATATGTATGATATGCGGTATAGTTATCCTGTTTCACGATGAAGTTTTGACTTTGGTTGTTGTTAGCCGTGCACATACACATCGTGTTAGTGTGCGTAGGCCTCGGGAGCGCTACTCCCGAGCGCCCGCAGAAAAAAAAAAGAAAAGTTTAAACTAATTATAAGTAATATAAGTGTTAGAGGAAACTGAATATGCATTGCTCATGAGCTGTGATAATCCTAGTGAAAATATGGTCATAGTCATGAAATTATTGTATTGTCATCGTTTCTATAAACTTCTGCAAAATTTCAGATTATTCAGACGTATGGTTGTGGCTCAAAACTGAATTACAAATTCCATTACATATATACAGACATAGATACATACAAGCGATTTTACACGATTTAGGTATATTAGCCTAAATTGTGTAAAATAGCTCTTACTGATTGATCTCGATGAGAGTTAGAGCCAACACTGTAACATGTATACTTAGAAAATATTACAAATAATCCACACAGCCTATTCCACTTGGCCAATTGAACATGGCTATTTTTTTATTTTGCTTTTTTTACACTTTATTGATTTATGTGAACGAATAAATATTTTTATTGACTTTTATTGTTATTTTAAACGAATACCTAATATTGATTCAATTAAAGTCAATGATCTGCTTACTTTTTTCAGACAAATCAATAAATTAGAACTATTTGAAATACATCAAGGGGAAACCAGCGTGAAGTAGAGGTTTACCTCTGCGTTTCGCTTGGTGAGTGCAGGTGGCCGGAGGCCCTTTTTACTGGAAATGAGGCATTCCATCTTAGTCCTCACGGGTGACAAGGCATCTACATTTTGATTTGTAATAGAGGATAGATGTAGATGTCTATGGGCCGCAGCAACCACTTACCATCAGGTGGACTGTGTGCTCGTTTGTCACCCTTATCCTATAAAAAAAAAACATCAAGGGGTTACGAGCTTACAGTTCACCTGGTGATAGTATGTGGATAGTGTGGTCCATGGATTTTTTTTACGGGAGATCCATAGGTATAAAAATGAAAATATAGATACGTTGTCACACCTAAGGCCAAAGGTTTATCACGTTAACAATAAAAAGTGTCTTCGATGCTCGTCACTCCCCATTTACTTACTATACGAAATACTAGAGAGTATGTAGTATATGTGTCTGTATGTCTCGGTTATAGGATTCCTATTCTGCCCAGGAGTCTGTCTAGATAGTTACTACTCCCTTACTTATTTTGTCATCCCTTCTCGTATAAAAAAGGGCAGGACACTTGAAAGGAACCGCAAGAAGATTTCTAATTAACTGTTTATAGATTCATTAACATTGAATGGCTATTTAAGTGCTTAATTAGTATTTAAAATGCTATTGGATTTTCGCGAGAATTGTAAAAGTTTATTCGTGCTCATTAGTAGATTTTTTTAACCTGTTCTAGTTCATATAATCATAATTTATAAACTCCGACATCAGTTCAATGACACTTTCTAATTGATTAACGTATAAAATACGAGATCTTGTTTAATTATAAACATTAAGCAGTTATTATTGCCGTTTTTATTTTTTTATGAATAACTTTGTATATGAGTCATCTTGCTTTATATACAAGTTGCTTGATTTATTTTGAAAGTAAGATACTGAGAATATAATTTGTCTAAGCAATTTTAGAAAATTCGTGAACCGGGTACCGTTATGTCCCATGTTGGTTTGGGAATATAATTTGCCTGCGCAATTTTGTAATTTTAGAAATTTCGTATACCGGCTACCGTTATGTCCCATGGGGTCGTATAGGTCAAATGTATCTATGAGACATAACAAAAAGTGAGCCGTAGTATCTTAGGCGCTAAGCGCTCGCTGTAAATATCACAGTACATGAGCAACTCGGGTTCAAATCCCGCCGGCATCAATGAAATTGTTAATTACAATTTAAATGCTGAACTACTATGTGCTCTACGGTGAAAGAAGACATCGTGAGGAAACCTGCATTTCTTAGATATGAAAAAAAAAATATTTCGAAGACATGTGGAGTCCACCAACACGCATTGAGGCAGTGCGGCGGCCTTTTCCTATCCCTAAAACCTTCTCAGAAATGAGAGGAGGAGGCCTATGCCTAGGAGTGGGACGTAGTGGGCTGTACTTTCACTTTTATAACAAAAAAGAATGTGTCAACTGTGTTATTTGCCTTGGGAACTCCAATGTGGCAAAAATTTTCCGGTTCAGAAGTGTTATGTATTAAACACTATTGTTATGACGTCAATATATGCCTCTAAAGAACACAATATCCTTTGATTATGCTTCTTTTGACATTAATAACTTGGGATAGTTTTCTACCATTGACAAGTGCTAAGTGAAATTTGATCAATTGTTTTAAAAAAATTCTTGGTACCATTGCAGGGGCATCCGCTCATATCTAAAACGTGAGTGGGATGTTAAAAGCTGTTACTTTATTTTACTTTACTTTTACTCTTTATTACTAAAGTACTTATTATAGTTTACTTTTACACTTTATTACTAGAGTATTTATTTTCTGCCGACTTCCAAAAAGGAGACGGTACTCAATTAGACTGTATGTTTTTTTATGTGTGTTACCTCATAACTTTTTACTGTGTAAACAGATTTCGATGATTCTTTTTTTATTTGAAAATATGATAAATATGAAAAAATATGATCAAGGTCAGACCAGTAGTTATTGAGTTATTCTTAATAATTTATATTGTAGTCGGCTGTACAAAATTTTTAATTTTAAATTATATTATTGTTACGACTTACTTTTACTACTCTTTTAAAAATCTTCTTGGCTTTAACGCCACCAAATTACATTTTTAAATTGTTATTAGGTTCTTAAATTTTTTTATTACAATTTACCTTTATCACAAATATTATAAAATAAATCAATAACGATTTGATTAATATCGCCACATTCAGAAGTTTTTTTTTATATATATATAGTGTCAGGCATACGGTAACACTTGCCAATACAGAGAAAACTTAATTTCTCCCTCCCCTTCCCAGTACCAGGTGGTCGGTAGATCTTAACCTCTTTGCTGTAATTATTCCACGCGTTCGAATCAAATGGTCTGCTTCATCTTTCGTAATGTGTTCATCAAAGGAGTAGAATAACCTACCGGCGTCTTTAAGGCTTTTGTTACGCTAAGATGGGTGCGATTTATCATCTAGGGCTTCACCGTCCCCTGTGTAGACTATAGTCAAGCACTAGCTTACAGTAAACAAAACATTGTTCACGACGGAAATTTTAAACCAATAATACCTCAGCAAGGCAAACATCAGCCTCGATACATTAAAATGTCTTAGAAAAAAATTAGATAAAACTTTACGAAAATAAATTACGGGCTAAATATGATAAGTGGCCTAATTTATAGAAAATGGTCTATCAGTGACCTATTGTGAGCTTCGCATAATACACATTACGGACAGCTATTGAACAGCTATTCTGACAGGTCAGTCTACAAAAAATATATTGATGTATCCGTCAAACGGAGCTTTACCCGTCATTAGTCATTACTGCGTCGAAATTATCAACACCGTCGCTTGTTAAGGCAGGTACGTCATATTCCGTTTTGTTCTAAACGTAGTGAATCATATCTTTTTTTTTTGTTTTTTTTTAATCGTATAATGGTAACAAACGAGCACACAGTCCACCTGATGGTAAGTAGTTGCTGTGGCCCATAGACATCTACATCCATCCTGAACTACGAATCAAAATGCAGATGCGTTGTCACCCGTGAGGAGTAAGATAGAATGCCTCGTTTCGAGTAAAAGGGGTCTCTGGTTCTCTACACTCACCATACGAAACAGCGTCAAGCTGCTAATTTACGCTGGTATTCTGTGAGAGCGTAGACCTTCCCGGTCGAGCCGACCCAATCATGCTACAGCTATACTACTCATATAGCTGCATCATGGCTCTAGCACGTAATATATATGAATACAATAGTCTTTGTATTGTTCTATAACTTGTACACTGTTATAGCTGTATCTCCTTTAATATGTTTGTTGAGGCAAGTGCTTATCTGATCTTGGCTTAAAATTATAAATCGATCTAGCATGAGGAAATATTGATAGGACGTATTTTAAAGGCTTAAATCTTATAGTTCCACCCTAAATAGTAATATAGTCCTTATTGACTGCCTCGTTGATCTAGTGGTCGTCAGCGTGATTGATGATCGCGATAAGATCCCGGGTGTTGTTCTCTTTTTTAGTCAAGAAATTCTCAGAAACATCCCAGAGCCAGGAAGTTGGCGGTGATTCACCCCCTTGGAACTCCCATGGAAAGCACTTAGATCCGTTGATCCTGCCGCCTGACCTCTCTTCGGTTGTGACGGATAGCCGTCCCATCGGACTATGAAAGTGAGGAAATAGAGAGTGCACCTGTATTTGAGCACACACTATTACACTAGTTGGTCTACGACCACCACTTGGAATTACATAGGCTCTAACTTCACTTTACCTTTTACTTACTAGGCAATAATTCGCCGTAATAGACTTAATGGAAAACTACAAATAAGATTAATTTTCTGATGAAAAAAAAAACTAGTAATCGGGGAATAATAAATGTTTTCTTGTTCTACTGTAATTTTTTAAAAATTGAAGTTTGCCCCTTTGCGGCGTCAACGACGAATTATTATGAAGAGACGCCTATCAACCACGTGTTTTATTAAAATTATCTTTATGTTTTTATAAAAATACATATCTCTTTCAGTACACATCCATTACAGAAAAAGATATCACGGAGTTGCAGCGAAGGTATATCGATCTCTTGGAGAAAATCCGGCCCAATGCAGTTGGCTTAGTCGACGCTTTCGATTTTAGGGATGAGGTTTGTTGAAATTTTATCATATATAAGAATTTGTGGGTCTGATATTAAAAAAAATTTAGATGCGTCTACTGTAGGATCCTAAGAGTCAAACAGCAAAAAAAAAGAGTATTACGCGGAACTTAGGTAATTAATTTTAACATCTTTAATTACTACCAGTATTCGTACTAGTATCTTCTTCATCAGCCCGCAAAAAGTTTACCGTATGGTCATAGGTCTCTCACGTTGTGATGAGGTTTAACCCTAGTCACCACGCTTTGCCGGCAGATTGCAGTACCAGAATTCTCGTACCTTTGACACTACTCCGACGTAGGTCTATTTTTAAAGTTATAGAAAGTATAGCTTTGATAAATCTAGCATCTAGAAAAATCTAGCTATTGATGGCAGTATTCTACCATCTATCGGAAGCCTTGAGACACTTTTGACATAGGTCGCCTCTTACGACACCCTCGGAACAAAATGGGATAATGATACAGTTACGCCGCAACCACACGACAAATTATACAGGCTTATATTGCAATGGCCGGCCAAAGGAGATGTATGAAATTGTGTGCTTGACATCGTTTGTAACAGTTATACAAAAAAAGCTTGAATGGAATCAAGTTCATCTCCTTTGCAGAGAAGGTTCAGAATAAGTAATATTATATATATATAATAAGTATGCAAATGGTGAAGAAAAATTAATAAAAAAAATCTCAAACATTCTGTCCCTTTTATCTTTTAAATTCAAAATGTGTGGTAATGCATTATTTAACTGATATTACTGCGCACGCACACATTCGTAAGGGTCGATCGGTTATCAAAAACGTTGTTGCCCATAAATCACCTTCCATTTTGGATAATTTCGAATAAAAGTAGAAGCCTTATTTACTCGTACTTTCAAAAACTGCAATTACAGTAAATCATAATTTATATATTTGAACTTCAGTTTAAAATTTGGCTACTCTTTGAGAAATAATCCTGTATACGTATACAGTACCAGGTACTCTTTTTTTCTTACGCCGTTTCTTCTTTGGTCAGAGGAAAATCATTTCGGAACGGTAGTAGATTTAAAAAATATATATATATTTGACAAACGAAATTTTATTTTTCTAAAGTCGAAGTTTCATTTCAATAAATACGAATTTTGTTATGCTGACCTAACAATGGGTTAACCCTGATTTGTTAATGCTGCCTGCAATGCCTGCTGACATTATTAATTAATAAATTATTAATGCTGAAACGACATTCTTTTATTTTAATTTCTTAATGGTAATGATATCACGCAAAGGTATACAGTAGGAGTAATATATCACAGAAAAGATGTGGACTGTTTTTGTAATTTAAGAAATATCTTCTTATATTTTAGATTCTGAACTCAGCATTAGGCGCGTACGACGGTCGTGCTTATGAGCGTTTAATGGAGGAAGCCATGAAGAGTCCTCTGAACGTAGAGCCCGTCAATGAGACTTTCCACAAATACCTCAAACCTTTCATGCTTGGAAAACTCTGATTTTCAATGACGAAGCGAAATACCCGTTGGCTAGGATGTGAAGCATTCCATCTTAGCCCTCAGATATATTAACAGCCTTCTTTGCTTGAAGTTGTCTGCAGGTGTCCATGGATTGTAATAGCCACTTATCTTTAGGTCAATTTTATAAAAATATAAACTATACTAAAATAACATAGCTTTCATAATATGATTGAGGTGTAGAATTCTAACTTTTACTCAGTAAATGTTAACTTATATTAATGTTAATTTTTGACATTTTGTTATATCACTTGTAATAAAATAATGTTCTTACTTATACTTTGTTTTTATATATAATGTCAGGGAAACAAAACATACGGCCATATGAGGCGACAATTCCACTAAGTTCTCGAGTCTCTGATATCGCATCCAAGACTTTCTTACTATAATCGCTCGAATGTTACCTATGTTGTATTTGGACAAGCGGGTACGCACTTTTATTTATAGAATAAGAGTGAAAAACGAGCACGCAGTCCACCTGATGGTAAGTGGATACCGTGGCCCATAGAGATCTAAATCAATCCTCCATAATGAATCAAAATGTAGATGCACTGTCACCCCAGATGACAAAAATGGAATGCCTAGTTTTTAGTAAAAACGGGTCTCCGGTTCTCTACACTCACCATACAAAACAAAGCGATATTATGCTGCTATTTTGCGCTGATATTCTGTGAGAGCGTGGTTCTCCCCCCGTCAAGGCAACCCATTCGTGATGCAACTATCATATTGCTGCAGGAAGCTCTAACACGTATAAAGTCACTTTTATCACTACAATATGTACTGTATAGTTGCTGAGTAGCTGGTATATTCATTTTTGAAAAAAAAAATTAAAAACCTCCGAAACAAAAAGAGTTGATGATCCTCAAACGACTGAACAGATTTTCTTGTAACATACATATCTAAGAACACTCCATTGAGACACCTTTCAGACGAAAAAAAAAACAGCCTGTATCGATCTCGACGAACTATTTTTGTTGCTCTTCGGGTTAATGCAGTATAGTCCTTAATAACTCATTCTTAAAATGTAAAAACAGAAGGCAACTTTTAAGCCTGAAATAAAAAAGAAATATTTAAGTGCAAGGATGCAGACTATCTTTGAAAATATGTAATCATATCATTTTACGTCGTATATTTAATTCAGGAATGAAAGAAACTAAAATGTAACGTACTCTTTTTATTTATTATCTTTGTTCCAAAACATTAAATAAAATGCATTACACGGGCGACATTTAAATAAATACAATAAATTAATCTTAAATATTTCAAAATATATCAAGCAAATACATCAAGACAAGTAAATTATTGGAGACATAAAGTCGTCTTGAAGTGATTGCTAACTACTCTTAATTATAAAGTTCACGCGCTGTGTGCACTAGCTTGGGCAGAACCGAAACCATGAGTATCGGCTGCCGAGTTTATAACCCTGTAGCCGGTGAGCAAGCCTTGCAAATTCGCAGAAGACGAAGCATGACCCAACCCTGATGATTGGGCATTTGCAATAGTACCAGATCCTCCAAAACCATGGCCATGAGAAATAGCGTTGGAACTACTTGATCCAAAACCATTTACAGATGAGATGGCAGATCCATGCCCCAGCCCGTTGCTGTTGGCAGCCGATTTGGCGTAACCAGCTCCGTGAACATGTGCACCTGCGTTCACGAAACCGTAGCCCAGTCCATTAGCGTTGGCGAATGAGTTGGCGGATCCGAAACCGGTGTTGGCAAAGGAGTTTGCATTGCCGTATCCGTTGGCAAAGTAGTTTACATTGCCGTATCCGTTGGCAACGGAATTAGCGAACGCTGCACCGTTTACGTCGGCGGCGGATTGTACAGGTCCATAAAGTCCTTGTGTGCCAGCAACGGAATTTGCGTTAGCGTAACCATTGGTGTTCGTAGCAGACTGAACGTAGCCCACTCCATTGGCATTTGCAGTTGATTTAGCAGCACCATAACCTTGAGATTGTGCTACTGAATTAACATGGCCTACAGCATTCTTCACATCAGCTACTGTGTTTGCAGATCCGTAACCAGAACCATGTGTACTGGCAATCGAGTTTGTATAGCCAGCTGCGTTACTGTCAGCAGCGGGTTTGACATTTCCAAAACCGTGTGTGTTAGCTGTAGATGTGGCGGCACCGTAACCCAATCCCTGAGTATTAGCAGCTGAGTTGGCGTATCCTGCACCGTTAACGTTAGCGTTTGCATTGGCAGAACCGTATCTTAAAGAATTACCACCGTGACTTTGAGCGGTGGATTTAGCAATACCAGCTCCCGCTTGACTATCGGCGTGTACGTGGCCAACATTTGACGGTGTTCCGTAAAGAGTTCCAAAATGCCAGCTGATACCCTTTTGGCTAGTGGTCTTTGCAACAGCAGCTCCATTAACATGATTGACATGCGCGTCCGCAGCCGCACCATATCCTTGAGTTTTAGCTGAAGAGACGACCGCATTTCCAGCAACATCGTTCAGCGAAGAAGAAGCTGATCCATATCCACCGTTGGTCTTGCTTTCGGCTGTAGTAGTACCAAGACCACTTTGAGTTTTAGAGGATGCGGAATTAAATCCATTAGCCTGTGTTTGAGCTGCTGTTACAGTTGATTCATGTCCGTTGTTTGCACTCGAAGCAGCAGAACCGAATCTAGAGCCATACACGTTAGCGTTTGAAGAGGTTCCACCAATAGTGCCAACGCCTTGAGTGCGAGCTGACGACTGCGCTGAATCAGAGCCAGCGGCGTTAGCAGAAGAAACAGAAGATTCGTAGTTGCCATTGCGGATAGCGGAAGCTTGAGCAGATGTTGGTGTAGGGATTTCATTTCGTGCTTCCGCTGGTGCTTCGAAATTTTGGTACGACACGATCGTTGCAGGTGGAGGAATGGGGAAATATGCACCTCCATTTTGTGTGTGTGCAACAGATTTAGCGGAACTTCCTTGAACATCGTATGCTTCAGCTTGGGCGTCAGCTTGTTGTGGGTACACTTCGGCATTCCCTTCTCTTGGCTCAAATTGTACGTTGATGACTTCTGCCCTGTTCACATTGTTGTCGTCTCCTGGTAAGTTTCGCCCTTCACGGTATATGACACCTGTTAAGAAATTAAACGTTAATACTGCAATAACTTATAGTCAATTCAATTGTAATTTGTATTATTTTACATTTTACATTTTGAATTTGATATTTGCCTGTTTCTATTTAGTAATTTTTCGAGAACTATTTCGCACTTTTATTTAACTATTTTTTTTAATATGATATTAAAAAAAAAACTTACCGTTTATAAGGACTGGAGTGGACTGACATAAGGCGAAGCACGCCAGGACTGTAATGAGCTTGGCCGCCATATTAATACTTGATATTATACGACAGCCGACGTCTGAATGAACTGATACAGTGAGAGCATTTCTCCGAGCTTATATACTTAAATGATCGTCCACCTCTACGGGTCACGTTTGGCCTAAAACTTGTGAACTTCACCTAGAAAAGTCGCCGATCAGTCGTAAATATCGGTGATGAGTTACGGTAGTTTCAAACTGATTTGAACGAATGCTCTATTAACGTTTTTATGACGCTTTGAGGTCGATTTGAAAATTTAACATTTAGCGGCAAGACTGGATTGATATATATTTTTTCAGAGTACACTGACCCGACCCGTGTTCAATATGCTCAGCATAATAGCGAGAAAAAATCTCAGACACCTAAATCTTGTCGTTTATATCCCTCCTAGGTGATACACATCTTTCTTAGAAACTGTAAAACAACTGGAATCATCTATTTATCTATGTTTATTTATCAGAATAATTAAGAGACTGTTAATTGCTTTTTCTTAAAGCTAATTTAACAAGCTCACAGTCCACCTGACGGTAAGTGGATGCTGTGGCCCATAGATATCTACAACGATCCTCGATTAAAAATCAAAATGTATAATGCGTTGTCACCCCTGAGGACTAAGATGGGTTGCCTGTTTCCAGAAAAAAGTCTGATCGGTTCTACACTCACCATACGAAACACAGCAGTATTAAACGTCGTGCTGGTATTCTGTGAGAGAGTGGTCCTTCCCGGGTCGAGCCGACCCATTCGTGCGGCAACCATAATATAATTGCAGCGTGGCTCTATCACGTATAGTAAGCCCTTAAGTACTAAAAATATTAAACAATAGTATTAAAACATTTCACTGTTAGTGCAGACTTATTTTCATTTTGGAGAAGATAAGGGGGCGCCGGTTGGCAGATTTCGCATGTTTTGTAAAATAGTATAAAACATAATCGCTTCCCGCCGTTAGGATCTTTTAAGGTGACACTAGTCGACAATATTTCCATTGATTTCCATACAAATTTCGGAGGGGTTTTACTACGCTGTTTGACAGTGTACATCCAAAGTTAAACATGATATCGTTTTGTCTCATTATCAAATTTGTCTGTACGGAAACAGAATAGTAAAATAAAATGTTATTAAAAAGTTACGAGCTACCAAAGATTCGTTTTTATTGCCAATTTTAACACAACTTTGGGCGTAAATTAGTAATAAAAGAAGTGTGAAATTTCCAAAACAAAGTCGGTACCGACACAGCTCAATTATCGAAGAATTCAAGAAATTTTATTCGTAATTAATTTATGCAGTGGTTTTTTCATAAAACCCCTTCTTCCAAAGGCCTTTTCGTATTTTTTTACGCGCGTATGTTACTATGAATTATCGTGCATCTCACTGAATAATGTTTGCCCCGGTGCGGTGCGGGAGGACGACGCTTACACACACATGCACGGGCGGTGACGCGGGCTTATTCGAGTTTTATTCGAAACGAAAAGTTTTGCTATTTTGTAATTTGGACGCCAAAGACAAAAGACAGCATGGAAATTGATATAATTGAAAGAGATGATGCGTTTTGGACGACAGACAATTTTGTTTTTTATTTCAATTTTCGTCTGTAATATAATATAATTATAAAAGAAAAAAAATTAAGTCTATAATATACGATTACTATATAAAATTGCAACAATTTCATTGGTGCCGACGGGGATCGAACCCGGGTTGCTCGCGTAGTGTGATACTTACGGCGAACGATAACCATCTGAGCTACCACGGCTCTCAATGCAAGTGTTATAAATAAATAAAGAATTACAAAACAGTTTAATTATTTATTAGACGACTCTTGCGGCGGACAAACAAGGTATATTATGTGGGATTTTCATAGGTACCTACTGTTATTACCTAGATACCTACAACCTACAATACAACAAAATGTCACAAAACGTCACCGCGTCGTGGCCACAAAATTGTAAACTTTAGGTAGGTACGTCAGTACTAAGAAAACAATCTTGATGGGTCACTTGTCTTGATAAAAACCTGTGTTTACGTTTAGTGATATTGAGTATATATAAAAAAAAGTAAGAAGACAGGTAAGTATTTTTGAAAAAAATTTATAGGTAAGCAGAACTAATTACAATTATTATCTAAATATTATAAATGCGAAAGTTTGGATATTTGGATGGACGAATGAAAGGATGTATGTTATTCAATCACGCCAGAACCGCTGAAGGGACCTGGATGATATTTTGCTCAGAGATAGGTTATAGTCTGGAATTTTATTTTATTTTATTTTTTAAAAATACATTACCCCCGCACTAGCATTTTCTCCTGTATAGTGGAAGCAGTTTACAAACATCCAGACCCGGAACAACTATTTGTAGGCCATACAAATTTTTTTTTTCTTATTTAAAAAACGTTACACCCACACTAGGAGTTTCTCCTGTATCGTGGAGGCAGTTTACAAACATAAATTGCACAAGGACAAACATCCAGACCCGGAAGAATTATTTGTAGGCCATACAAATACTTGTTCCGTGCGGGATTCGAACCCGCGGCTCCCAGTAATATAAAATATTTCGTTCCCGTGGGATAATTTTTGCAGTTACACACGTTCGAAGCCGAACTCTTGAGTGATCGCTGCATAACCACTCGGAAAAACTAAACATAATAAAATAAGCAATCTATATTAGGTATATAGAGCCACAGAGGTATAATATGAAGCGATAAAGCAGCGCCTAATCATTTCGCGGTTTCACCCGCGTCATCATGTGTCCGAGATGCATGGCATGACATGACACCTAGTTTTATAATTGCAATCAAATATTTTATTTGATAATAATGTATGGAAAAATTGTCATAATTAATGAAGTACTTTTATTTTATCTGTCGGCATACTATGCGCGGTTTTATTCAGTTTTAAAGAAAAACGTACACGATACATGAAAAGTGTGTAGGCAAGAAATGATTCTTGATACATTTGCTATCAACCTCTTATACTCTTATACGGCTCCGTGGCGCAGTGTCTTAGCAATGAGTTGCTGAGCAGGGGGCCGCGGGTTCGAATCCCGCACGGATCAAGTATTTGTATTTGTATGGCCTACAAATAATTGTTCCGGGTCTGGATGTTTGTCCTTGTGCAATTTGTGTTTGTAAACTGCCTCCACGATACACGAGAAAATCCTAGTGTGGGGGTAACGTCTTTTTTTTAAAGAAATAAATAAAATAAAAACTTATTAATCAATTAAACTTTCAAAATACCATAGCAACGTGAAATGAAAGAGTTCAGAATTAACTAATCATTGTTACGCTCACCTGGGAGATAGATAAAAGCACTCAATTAATTTTGAATTTATTTTAGCTACCAGCTGTTCCCCGCGACTTCGTCCGCATTTAGTTTAGGGTGTTAATTTTGTTGCACGGACGCCTAATAATTTTTCTAAAATTTAAGCATTCTAAGTTACTACTTATAACATGAGCTATCTACTAGTGAAAGTCCCGTCAAAATCGGTCCAGCCGTTTTGGAAATTAACCGGAACAAACAGACAGACAGACAGAAAAATGTTAAAAATTGTGTTATAAGTAGCGTATATAATTTCATATGCAATTAGTAAAAAGCTGTTATTTTGACATTATAACAGACACTTCAATTTTATTTATTTGTGTAGATATAGATAATGATTGAACTAACGGCTAACCTAACCTCGCTCATAGAAGCTTTCAATACTGGCTTCTCAGTTCGCACCGGGCTAGGGGTTATGCGTTGTTTGCGCGTCAAGGCCAAGTATTGAATTATTTTAATTTTACATTATCTCAACTATGTACTATATAAACATGGCATAAACAACGAAGTTTATCTTCAAAAAATTGTCTTGATAATGAAGTAACTTTCGTTCGTAAGGATAAATATGCCATGCCTAATAATTAAATTTTCATTTTTTTTTTGTCAAAATAAAAATGCCTAATTGTGGCTTATACGAGTATATAAAAAATAGACATATGGTATCGCGGACTTTTTTTTAGACGGAGTAAAGATCTATATTTTCTGCTTTATTATATTAGTATAAATGTTGCATCGTGTTCGTGTAACTTCGTTTTTGTTCAAACGGTTCTGAATGCCGTACGAACAAGACGTGCGTGAATACTAGTGTCGATATGCTCATCACTGATACTATCTCTGTCGGGCACGATGCCAGGTGAGACAGCGTGCTTTTTGGCCGCGCCCACCAGCGAGTTCGAGCCCGCGACTTGTGCCACCTTAAACTACGCAACGGATTTTGATGCGGTTTTCATCAATAGACAAAATGATAAAATGCGATGCATGAGCAACCCTGTGTACTAAGATAAAATGTAAATATAATAAAATGAGCTGCGGCGCGTGTAAGTAGAACTTATACGACCTACAAATGATTGTGCCTGGTCTGGATGTAGGACTTCGCGCAATTTTTTTATAGGATAGGGTGACAAACGGGCACACAGTCCACCTGATGGCAAGTGGTTGCTGTGGCCCATAAACATCTACATCTATCCTCGTTTGCGAATCAAAATGCAGATGCGATGTCACCCGTGAGGACTAAGATGGAACGCCTCTTTTCCAAAAGGGTTTTTAAAAAGGGTCTCCGGTTCTCTACACTCACCATACGAAACACAGCAGAATTAAGCTGCTATTTTACGCTGGTATTCTGTGAGAGCGTGGTCCTTCCCCGGTCGAGCTGACCCATTCGTGCTACAACTATACTACTACCATAGCTGCAGCATGGCTCTATCACGTATGGTATATTAATGTACATACAATTATATTTCTAGATAATAGGACCCCTTCTCTGACTAGAAGTCTGTCTGCGTAGGTACCACCATCTTACCTACTTCTACAGCCAAATAGTAATGCTTGCACAGCTGAAAGCCAGTTTAAAATTACGGGCTGTGATTCCATTATATTTTACGCAGGTAGTATGAGAATGTCGTCCTTCCCCAGTCGAGCCAATCTATTTACGCAGGAGTTGAACATTTCTTATGAAGTTTTACTTTGTTAGCGAACCAT